ACACACACACACACACACACACACACACACACACACACACACACACACACACACACACACACACACACACGGGGCCAAACCTGCAAAGGCAGCCCTGGTGTGGCTCCTCCAGGCTCCACCCCCAGAGTTTCCCCTTGCTAGCCTTCCTTACCTGAGCTTTCCCTATGAGTTACTCCAAGGTGAGAGCACAGGTGACCCCTGAACAGAGCTACAAAATTACTTGCAAGAGGTGACGCACCCGGCCAAAATCAGCCTTACTTAAATATTTGCTTTTTTTCCTTTCATCTGGTTGCAAATTCAAATTTACATCATAACATTTTCAATGGGAAATTTAGCAAAATTTTTGAATCAGAAATTTAAAGTGATTTCCTGATGTGTCCATGAAAACTTGATGGTCAATTGGCTGATCAGGTGAGTTTTGGTCACTTGGCAGGACCCCAAGGAATGAACACAGGAAAGACACCTCTTGATGGGGTGACGTGTTCTAGAAGGTGTGGCCAAGGGCCCAGGAAGACAGGCCACATACAGGTTAGGTGTGGCAGTCTCAGAAACAGGCTCATAAGCATGAAGGTCCCCTTCAAAGGCTCTCCAACAGAGTTCCTGGCATTCTGGCCCCACACCGTCTCCAACCCAGGACGTGACTGGGTTTGGGCAGGGTTGTCTCTTAAAGACCTTACAGCCAAGAGGGCCACACTCCTCTGGTTGTTCGCCTCTGTGTCTGATCAGGCCTCACCCCCTCCCCTGTCACTCCAACAGGAAGTCCCCCCAAGGTGAATGGCCCACTCACCATTCCTATAGGCCGATAGGAGCCCATGTGGTCATTGTGGCCATTCCAACGGAAGAAGTTGGGGTAGTCACCATGCTCTAGGATGAACTGCTGGCCCTGGAAGTCAGGGTGCTCAAAGCAAACCCAGGCCCTGCTCTCCACTCGGATGGAGTTCACCGATTCATAAAGCCTTGGTCCTGGAGGTTGTCACAGTCCCTAAAGACCTCCAGCTTCCACCCTGTGAAGTGCTTGCCCTCATAGGGGTTGATCTGGAAGGCCCGGTTAGACAGTACAGGGGAGGGGCTTTCTCTTTTTTCATTTGGGGGACCCTCCAGTTCCAAGGACACTAATACCCAGCCCTGCTGCCTACGGTAGCGCTCAACCAAGATTTGCTAATTGGGTCGAAGAGCAAATGAATGGACTTTTCTCTTCTTGGTATGGTGGGTTGATGTTATACCCAGCATCCCCGGCCCTTCCCACTCCCAGCAGCCCTCAACTGAACAGCAAAATGTCAATAAATATTTGAAGACAGAGATTTCCTCTTTGTCTTGGGGTCATCTGAAAACAGATTCTTTTCAAATTTCCACTGCATTTAAAAAATTTTGTTTATTTTTAAAACATAACATCTATAATGACATTAAAGGAAATGTTTTCAAAAGAAAACACTTCACCCACAACCCACCATCATAACCCCACATTTATTTTCCAGAAAGGCAAGTTCCTGGGATTGAGCCTCCTGGGCTGACTCCATCCCAGGCCCTGGCACGGGATTTATGTTCTCAAAAGGGGCCTCTTTAGTGGAATCCCAGGGATGTGTCAAATCTGGAACTCTGTTCAGCCATAGTGCCCCAGAGCTATGTAGCACGGAAAGGTTCTCCTTGTCACCAAGCAAAACAACATGAATCAATAACAGCCCCCAAACTCATGTCCTGTTCTGGCACCTAGCAGTCTTACTATTACATTCTCTTTAGTTGTCAAGACTCGCGCTCCTAGAAGGAAGGGGCTGTTAAAGTGCCAATAATGTTACCTAGAAGCCCGGAACACACCCTAGTCATTTGTGATATCACCAATATTTCCAGTTCTCCTCCCAGGAGGAGGCGGCAGAATTGTATTTCCAGGCCCCTTGGAGCCAGGCATGACGGTGAACCTGGGCTACAGAACTGTTAGTGGCAGTGGAAATCTTAAGAGCCGATGCGGTTCCCTCTGCCATGCAGCTCTGCAGCCCTGGGTGCAGGGGGAGCAAGGCAGGGATTCAGCACAGGGCCACTGGGGATGCGGTGAGAGAGCAGCATATCTTAGTTGTTGCAGCTGCTGGGACAGCGAGTGGTTACTGACACAACCCCTTGAAAGTGGCTTCTCAGGCGAGCTGGGCAGCTAGAGAAGCGGGAGGCCACCCTCCCCGCTCAGTCACCCTCAGCGCAGGGTCTCAGAGAGCAGGGAGACCTGGGCACCAAAATTAAAATGTACCTCTAGTCTCAACATTTCACAGAGAGCCAGCCCACATTTAGACCACCTTCAGGCAAAGAAGATAGAGTGGGGCCTCCGGGTTCAGCACCAGTCCAGGCTCCCCACGCCCCCAAGGCCCCAGGGTCCGATCAGCATCCCTGCGGCAAACTTGAGCCTTATCCAGAGTTAGGAAAGTGAGGGAGTTAGGAAAGGGAGGGAGTTAGGAAAGGGAGGGAGTTAGGAAAGGGAGGTGGTCTCACTCCCCCAGACCTTCCCTATCACTGGGTGAACAGCCCGGTGGCCTCATTTCATCAGGAAATTTTGCTGACTTTGCATATGACAAAACCATGGACTAGCGAGGGCATCAAGTGACCGTTGGTCTCCCCTCAAGTCCCAGCGTAAAAGTGGTGATGGGTGTCGGGGGATGGGGGCTTGCGCGGTCTCCCACGGCCCCGGTCGAGTTTCAGTTCGGTTGCAGTACAGCTTCCAAAACCCCCACCGAGCGCATTCACCTTCCCCGAACGCTGCGCCATTGTGCGCCCGCCGGCGGGTCGGCTCCCATATATACGGGCCCTGCTGACGCTGCCTTTGAGTCGCCGAAACAAAAGATCTGCTGGCAGGGCTCCGCCACGTTAGCGCAGTCGGGCATCTAAGCCAACAGGGCGCCTCTCCAACTGTTCACGGGGAGGCCCGCTGTGCGGCGGCGCCTGGAAGAATGAGCCACAGAGCCTCTAGCCAGCTCCCAAGGCCTCCTGTCCTTGACCCCACTTTTCCAGCCTAGCTGGCTGTCCCGTTGAGACACACCAGTCTGTCCTCAGACCCAGGGAAGGTCTCTAATACCCCTCTCTCTCTTCCCAAATGCTCCCCTTTCCTCTTCTAGCCCATCCTTCCAAGTTTCTCACAAAGCCTTCCCTGACCTCCCCAGGCCCATCCCTTTCCTCATCTGGCTACATATAGTCCCACTTTGTTACGGATTGTTTCACCAGACAAAGAAGGGGAGGGATCCAGGCTTCCCAAGCACAGAAGACAGCGCTGGACCCAACTCTGCCTCTCCAACACCCCTGACACCTCCCGGAGCCAGGTCACCACCGCTTCCCTATCCCACTTCCCACCGTGACACCCACCCACAAGCTCTCAGCCCTTGAAGACCTTGCTCAGGGCCACCCCCCACTGGTGGTGCCTCCTGGGCTGGTGCACCGTAACATTCTGTCCTTTGCTTCTTCACAGTTGCGTGGACACCCCTGGACTACAGGGCTGTGTACAGACACACGCACCCCTGGAGCAGGACAGTTTCTGAGGGCACAGTCGTGCTTGGCACACAGTAAAGTTCCAACACTGTTTGTGGGAAGAATGGAGTGAGCACAGAGATTGGAGATAGGTGGGGGTGGGGGTGGGGGGCAGGTTACAAGATCACAGAAGAGAGAGCTCTCAAGCTGGCTGACGGGAAGAGGCCTCCCAGGACCTGTGCCCTGGTGGATGGTAAGAGGAAGGGGCTTTGGGAGTAGTTAGCCTAGTCCTCTACTTTCAGGAATGCAGAGCCTATTTTCATTACCATTTCCCAGATGAGACACTAAAGGCCCAGAAAGAGGATGTCCTTCTTGGGGCAGGGGGTGACCCAAGCTTTGATTCTTGCCCTTGCCCTTGCCCTGCCCTGGGAGCATGGACTGAAATCTGCACGCTGTCCTTGCACCCAAGGAGCAACCCGAAATCACACATCTTGGAGTGGGGTCATTCCAGGCTGCTGCGGGTTGCAGTCTCATGCCTCCAGAACCAGCCACCCCACGGCCCCCACCAGCATCTGCACCCCCAGTCCACACATTCCAGTATGTGACTGTGGATACGGGAGCCAGACCCAGAGCCCACAGACTCTGGAAGCAGCGAAGTGGGCAGAATTCAAGACAGAAGCAGCAATTGGGGGTGTTTTCTGAAACATATACATGAAAATTAACCAGTATTTTCCTTTGAGTGAGAAAGAATCAGTAAAAGATTCTCAAAAAACTAGAGAGTCAGATTTCTGTAACTTTAACCTCCATTCCTCATTCCCAATCCAGCGTCTCAATTCTCATCCAGGATTTTCATTAGAGGAGTTGTCTGCCAAGATTCATATGATCTGAGCTGTGTGTGCTCAAGAGGAACCCCTACCCTAAATAACTACACGCATTTGCAAATGTCAGGTTCCCCAAGTCCTACCACTGGAGGTTCGTGTCTTTGTCTCATCTTCAGTAGTACACTGTTAAAATGTACCCCGACATACATAAGATCTTAAGCCACCTATGACTGCTAGTTCAGGACCACATCCTGGGGGAACAGAATCAAGATAAAATCTTCCATCTATTTTATTTAGTAATTTCATATTAGGAAAGTTCAGTATTTATTAAAACTATGCAAAAAATCTTATGTGTTTTTAGGTGAAACCATAGGACAGTTCTTCACTGTGCAGTGCCACCCTGCGTTTTGCAGGATATCAAGCACCCCTCAGCCCTGCCTACTACAGGGCTGCCCCTCTCCTATCATTGTGATAAATGGGAAACCTTGCAAATCTCCAATTGCTCCCCAGGAGGCGACAATGCCCCCTTTGAGGTTCACTTCTCGTGGGTGAACATGTAGGAATGAAATCGCCAGGTCAAATCGTCAGCTCACAGTTAGCTTCACTGATGCAGCCCTTGCTCTGCAAAGTGGTTCTCCTGACTCACACTCACCCAGTGCTCACCATCTTTGTAGACATATTCTGTCCATTTGGGTTTTCTCTTCTATAAACTGGTTGTTCATATTCTTGGCCCATTTTCTGTGAGTCTTTGGGTGTGTGTGTGTGTGTGTGTGTGTGTGTGTGTGTGTGTGTGTGTGTGTGTGTGTTTTAGCCTGTTCTCTACTTCTTTGCTGTTTGTGTACATTGTGAAGATCCTGTCCCAGTTTGTGGTTGGATCATTGGCCTGGGATCCATTTTTGTTAGTTTCTGGGACTGGGAGTTTCCAGAGCACATGCGTAGTGTAAATTCAAACTCCAAATCTGCATCGATTCAATAAAAAATCACGTGAGTGGGTTAAATGCAGTCCTGTATCAGGGAACTCTAGATGTGGATGACAAGTTTGGAAAGAGGCCCTTTCCTGGTGGCCCCATACCTCAAGTGTCATCCTGGTGCTCTCGGAGGGAGCCAGTACAGATCTAGGGGTGTAGGAGAGGCCATTGCTTGACCGTGTTTTTAGAAGTCCTCTTTGCTAAACTGAGGCTGGCCGTTTCTGTTCCCTGAAAGCCTGGAATTTCCAAGTACCCTCTTCCTGGAGCACAGCCTACTGGCCAAACATGGAATAACACTGAAATCCTGGCCCAGCCCATAGGTGTCTGTTTATCAAGCAACAAGTATTGATGGACAATAGAGGGTATGGTGGAGGTGGCCGAGGTTCCTCCTCTGGGGAATTTACCAACTAGCTGTGAGAACAGTTGGGCAATGTACAAGGTCATATAGATGAGTGTTAAGACGGAAGGTACAAGCAATACATGCTCCCCCAAATCAGACAACAGGTCTGTTTGCGAGGGCTGGACCCCTCTGGAAAGATGTTTGTGATGTGGCATGGTGCAAGGTCAGAATTTGGGTAAGGCGTGTCAGAGGAGGAGGCAGTCAGGGGAGCAGAGGGGTGGGGACATGGGAAGGTGTCACTGAGTACAAGAGACCCTTTCATGAAGTCCTGGTAGCTTGTGGTCACTCCCACTGTCTGAAAATCCCTAACTTGCACAACATCGCATTCTCTTGCCTTTCCTCAGCCCGCCTGGCTGTTCTGTTCAGTCTTGGTCTCCTCCTCAGTCTCCTCTTTTTTGTTCATGCCCTCAACACTGAACTTCCTAGACTTTGCCTTATGTCGTCTCCCCACACTCCTATCCACTCCATGGCTTCAGGTACCGTCTGTGTGCTGGTGACACCCACACGTCCCTCCTAACCTGCAGACCCGCATGGCCCACAACACGGACACCTCCACCTCCAACCCAACAGCTCTGAAAGGGCCTTTCCAACCTTTCCTCAAATCTGCTCTTCCTCCTGGTCACCATCATCCTTCCCTGGTTACCTGGCTACCTGGCTACCGTCTTTGCCTGCAGCCCCATCCTGCAGTCACCAAGTCCTCAGTTTCCCCAGTCCTCATCTTCACCCACACCTTGAGTTCCAGCCACCGTCAGCTCTCACCTGGACTGCGGCAGTGGCTTCTGGCAGGTTCCCCTCCAGCCCATTCTCCACTCAATGGCCAGAGTGATCTCTCTGTCTCTCAATTATGAATTATTTCAGGCATACAGAAAGTCAAGACCTGTGAATCTACATCCCAGCTTAAGAAACAAAACTTTACAAACAGCTGGGGCTTCTGGGTGGGTTCCGTAATCATAATAATCTTTTCAATTTGATCCTGCCACCCTTCTGCCTAAAATCCCTCAGGGGCGTCCCGTGCCCTTAGGGTAAAGCAGCGCCTGCCTTGCGCCCCCGGAAGGAGGCCTCTGCCTCGTCACATTTTGCATCCTAAGCACCTGCTCATCTCACTGCCTCATCCTAGTCCTGCCGGGTCTCCCTCTCACGGGGCCGCCTCTTCCCTCACGGTGGTCCTCCGCGGTGGTGAGGGTCTCCAGTCCAGCCTGGAACCCTCCACCATCAGCTGACCACCACCGCAGGCCTGGAGCCCATGTATTCCTCTGGTCTCAGCTTAGGTGCCACTCCGCCCGCCACTGGGGGCCCACCAGTCCTCTGCACCGAGGTCCTCATGCCCAGTCCCTGAGGGCAGGGCTATTTGCCCCTCAGCACCCAGCGGAGCGGAGCTGCTGGCCCCTAGGAGGCGCTCAACGAAGTTTGATGCGCACACAAATGTGGAAACGGTGTGCAAAAGCCCAGAGATGGGAGCAGGCCAGAGGGGAGGCTGGACAGGACCTCTGCCCCTCCCCCACACCCGGGTGTTGCAGGGGCCGCTAGTACTGCCTGATCTGTCAGTTAACTGAGGTCCCGCAGGAAAAAAAAAAAAAAAAAAGCATCGTGTGAGCACCTTTTGATTAATGCACTGCTAGGAGCGCAGAAACCTCATGCTCTGCCAGCCCACCTTCGCTCCTCCGGGGAACCCGCCCAACTCACCGAGGCCAAGCTCTGTGCTCACCCGGCTGCTGCGGCGGCACCGCGAAAACACTTAGCGGCTATGGGCTTCCGCACTGGACTGAACTCCTCCCAGGAAGGGCCCACTTCCTCATCTCAACCTCCAAGTACCTGGTAGGGACTGTCCCGGTCAGCGCTGGCAGGGTACTTGCTGAATGAATGAAGGCTAGCACATGAATGGCGTCATGTTGGCCACGTGCTCTCGCCTGGCGTGTGGCATCCAGGAGGCTCACTGGCCCACTTGGGACGGAGCCCAGGCCCTCTGAGAGCCCTGGCCACTGGGGAACAGAGAGGAAGGGGCTACAGAAAGAGCCTCTCTGGCCAGAATTGCAAGCTTCTAAGGAGCCTGTCTGTGAACCAGCAGGGACCAGTGTCAGCCGCTATCCACTAGGGTTCTCTGGATCAGCCCTCTTTCAC